AAAAAAAAAGAAGAAGAAGAAGAAGAAGTTCTCAGAAAAATCTGAAAAAAATATATGTTATGTAACATAACAATACAAGCAACTTTTGCCTTGGAGTCATGTTCAAATTCGCAGTCAATCATGAGTTAAAAATCGAAAATCAAAAAAAATATATATATATATTTTTTACGAAAAACAAAAACTTTTTTTCCCGGACGACGGGGGTACCGGACGTATGGGGGAGACGTCCGGGGGAGGCGACCGGCCCCCGGACCATTGGTAACCTAGTTTTTTTTTGCTTTTCTTTTTTTTTTTCTTTTGCATTTGCGCTCTGATATTCTTGTGACAATATATATGATGCTGCGGGCACACCTGCGTATCTGTGAGAAGTTGTTGCTGCCAACTCACGTTCATCTCTCTAATTTCACGGAAGTTGCGCTCAGTGTCACGCCTGGGGTCTCCCTGCCTGACCCCTCGGACTATCAATGTCGGAAAGTGTCCTACTGATGACACTTAGTCGACGACCATGTTGTTGCAACCGACTGCGACATCATTCCTGATGATCGCCTCCGCGGCTTGTTCCATGAGGGCTCAAATTGCTGATGTGCTTCTGGCTGTTAGAGTTTGCCTTGATGAGTATATTGCTAAATATCTGAGGTCGTTCTCCGAGCAGCTTCGGCCGACTGCTCAGAACAAATTGCAGCAGTGGCGCTCAACCGTTCGTATATGTTGCCAAATCAACATCTCATCCTCCCACACGGCCACACGACAACCGCACTCCCTTCACTTAGTGCACAAGGCTTTGAGACACCTTGAATAACACTTTGCTATTGTTCCTGTCGACAAGACCTCACATAACTTGGCAATCTGTTGTAAGAACTGGTACCTGTCTCATCTATGCTCATGTGGACACCCCTACCTATATTGTGCCTCTTGACTCTGTTGCAGATATTCTTGATCGCCAGGTGCTTTGGAACAATTGGTGGGGATATACACACAAAGACACACTGCCATATCTGTACTATGCACTTAAATCGCACAATCTCTCCCCACCGCAGCGATCTCGATCATGTGCGTCGTCTGTTCATGCAGTCCACCACCGACCTTCCCACAAACCCTTGACCAATACTCTTGGCACTTCTGCCCGCCTCAGCGTTGCACTACAAGGAGTCGTTGAAACTCTTCGTGAGAAGGATAATCTGTTGTATCAGCAATACGGTGTGAGACGGTGCTGGATCGTGCAAAGCGCTGAGGAGGTGACTCTTGATCTCAAACGTAATTCATCTTCTCTTCGTGACCATGCTCTTCGCATTGTTGACTGCACAACTATGTACACCAGTCTTCCTTGTGATCGTATTTGTCATAATGTATCAAAAGCGGTTGAGGAAGCCTATACACATGCCTTACAACAGCACACACAGGGGCGCACACATCCTCCTACCCTTAACGTGATTGTTAAAGGGCCCCGTCAAGGGGAGTGGACGGTTCATGCGGGACCAAACACTTTGTTTGTTTCCCAAATTCTTGAACTTCTCCGTGTCATTGTCACAAACACGTATCTTTATGCAGCGGACACCACCTTGCAACTTCAACTGATTGGCATCCCAATGGGGGGCACTTTAGTAGACTGGACGGGTGAACGGGCAACCGTTGCAGTGGAACTTCAATATTAGGTGCTATCAATTTCATTACGACTATTTTTAACATGCGTGAACCAAGAATGACCATGCATAGATTACCTCTATTTGTTTGGTCTGTGCTAATTACAACTTTTCTACTTTTGTTGTCACTTCCAGTATTAGCAGGTGATATTACTATGCTATTAACTAATAGAGTAATTCTGGTCCGGAGATAGCTAATCTGACTTCGTATTGGGATGAGGCTCGTATTGTTGATGACCTTCAGTAGCGCGATGTTCGCGCAGCTCAACAGTATGCGTTCACATACCGCTTGATCAATGATGTTCTCTCATGGAAACATTTGCCACCACTGTCAGAGCACCGTGGCATCTAATGGAAGGAGACCACAACGCCTGATGGCTCTTGCACATTCTTGGGTGCACGCCTCCAAGTCCGCCCTGATGGTTACCTGCATATGAGTGTCTTTGACAAAGCAGCCGAACGGAATTTCCCTGTTATTCGTTATCTCAGTGCTACGTCTAACGTCCCTACACACCAACCGGTGGGAGTGTTTACAGGCCAGCTTACTAGGTTTGAGTATGTTTGCAACAACTGGTATGATTTCAAAACTGCAGCTGCGATGCTCACACGCTGCATGCTTTTTCGCAGGCGCTCTACAACAACGCTTGCGAAAAGATGGACTGCCTATATTCGTAAACGTCAACACAGGTACCCTGCGCACGTGACCCGCCTCTCTAGCTGGTTCCGCAACATGCTTTTATGGTCTATTCACCACCCACTTTCTCGTGTATCTACATACTGCTCTCGGACTATGCCTGTCACAACCTCTTCTTCATTACCTGCGCCTGTCACATCTATCACAACCTCTCTCTCTCTCTCTCTCTCTTTCTCTCTCCGTCTGTGTGTGTGACACACACACACACACACACACACACGGGCGCAAAAAGAAGCCTAATCTCATTAGTCTTAGTAACCCCTTCCATGCTGTTAGTGACCCTGCCTGCCGCTTTTAGGTTCACAACTTCTTCCTCATCGTTCTTGGTTGCTTCTATGATTTATTCTGTGGGTGCAACTCGACCAGTGGCTGCTGTGCCGCCTTTGGTCTCGGTGTGTTCCTCCATGGCATTTGTGGCCTTGCCTGCATTGCCACCTGCAGAGTCCCCTCTTCGGGTCTCACATGTGACTGCTCCCCCGGTCTCTCCTTCAACCACTTCACCACCCCCGTCTTCATCGTCCTTATTTCCCCTGGTTTTGTCTCCGTCTGTTACCCACCTTCCTACTACTCCACCACCCTCGTCTTCATCGCTCCTACCTCACCTGGTTTTGTTTCCATCCGTCTCCTCTCTTCCTGATCCACAAATCGCTTTGTCCACACATACTTCGTCATCCTATTCTCCGTCGGTCTCATCTGCCCCTGCGGAATGCCTACTTCACCGTCCTGGACACCGGCCTCGTCTTACTCCACAACCTCAGCTTACTCCCCTTTCCTCCATCTCTGTTCTTGGACGAAGACGAACTCGTTCATTCTCCCCATCACGGCCCTCCCCAACATCCCGTCCCCGTCTTTTGCCGCCCCTAGCGTCCGTGCGATGACGACGACTCTCTTCAACTGCAGACCTTTCTGCAGTGCGACAAGCACAAAATAGGAGGGATGATGGTGTGGGACCATCTGAGGGTGAACTTGGAAAGGGGACTGTAGGGGATTCTGTGGAAAATCCGTCTGAGCGCCCTCCACCGAATCTGTGTGGCCTCGCTGCTACGAACATCTGTCTACAAGCCTATCATCGGGAACCATATACTCACTCTGATTTCTTAGCCATTGCTTCTGATCTTGATGCTCAGGAGCGCGAGTTATATGGCGATAACCTGACTCAGCATCCCCCACATGATAGTAACTACATTCACATGGGGGATTCAATGTCTCTGTTCTGGAGACTGCATTGATGAGGTGCCAGTTCGATATGCAGCATACCCTTTTGGGTGGGGACCCGGACCACTGTTCGCGCTGTTCGCGCGTTTGTCCCTACATTCTACGTACTCCTAGCCACTACACCGCTCTTGTCCGTGCCTCTGGTTCTTCGGAATTATGGAATAGCGGTGCTATGGTATTACTGCCATCTCTAATCTCGTGCGTAATTACCCTAATCTGCAACTGTTCCAGGTTATTGACCCCATGGGTACCTCATGTACTTCTGTGTCTGCCTCTCCGCCCGTCTCTGTGCTTGGCTTCGCACCTGTCTCCGTGCCTGTTTTTGTGTCTGTCTCCTTCCAGGTTAGTGACCCTATGGGTACCTCGTGTCCTTCCGTGCCCGCCTCCATGCCCGTCTCTGTCTCTGTCTCTGTGCTTACCGTCGTGTCTGTCACTGTGCCTGCTTCAGTCTTTATTCCCCCACATGCTGCACTAACCCTTTGTGACCTCCTTTGTGCGGCCACTGACACAGTTACACTTGGCTGTGGAAAGCATCAACTTTGTCGACGTCACTACAACCATATTATTTTTCGGGCCTGCTGTCTGCAGGGATGCCACCTGTATCCGGATTGTGAACATCCTCTACAGCCAGATGGAGTATGTCCCATCTATGGTTGTGGGCGCTATATCGAATGTGCACTTAACTGTGATGTGAACGCTCCACAATCGTCATGGCCTGCAACCGGCATGCCCTCTGCCGTGCATGCTTCAGAGGTATGGTTGATGCTAGCTGTCCTGGCTCCTGCTGTGACGAGGTTGCTTGTCAGAATCGTCTTCGTCCTATAGATCGCCAGGAGGGCTGCTACCATCGCCCGCATCCTTATGATAGTTGTCCTATCTGCCGTGAGGGTCTTACTCAGACGAATCTTGCACCTTAACAAAAACAAGTGGACCCGCCGCAGCGACGCTGCGGCAGAGGAGAGGGACGAAGAGGGGGGCGGGGCTGTTGTTGGTACACTGCCGGTTTTTTTTATCAATTTTTTTTTTTCTTGTCGTCATATTCGCTATACACTCAAAACAAACATGACTGTGGCAGACTGTTTCCGAGTGATCAGGAGGTTGTGTGTGTGTGTGTGTGTGTGTGTGTGTGAGAGAGAGAGAGAGATTCTCTCTCTCTCTCTCTCTCTCTCTCTTATTCTATCGATGGAAGTAGCCTCTCTCTATTTGTCCGCGTGCATGGCTGGAAACTCTCTGTCTCTCTCTCTCTCTCTCTCTCTCTCTCTTTCTCTCTTCGTCTGTTTGTGTGGCACGCACACACACACACACACACACACGGGCGCCCGCCCGCAGGCAGGGCCGCTTCAACAGTTTCATGTGTGCATGAACTGAGCAGCCTTCGAATGTGCAAAATAAGAAGGAGAGTATGAAGCACGGGGCTGTGAGATGCAACCCCATCCCCAATCCCCTCCCCCTCCTTCTCCCCCTCCTCCCACCCCTCCTCCCGCTCCTCCTCCCGCTCCTCCTCCTCCAAACAACATGACAAAGTTCCCGCCGTAGCCCCGCTCCCGCTCCTTCTCCCGCTCCTCCCTCTCCTGCTCTCGCTCCCTCTGTTGCTGCTCCTCCCGCTCCTCCTGCTGCTCGGCCTCCTTCCGCTGCTTCTCCTGCTTTTTCCCCCGTTCCTCCTCCCCCTCCTCCCGCTCATCTTCCTGCGCCATAGCCCCGCTCCTCCCACTCCTCCTCCTCCTCCTCCCCCTCCCGCTCCTCCTCCGCCAAACAACGTGACAAAGATCCCGCCATAGCCCTGCTCGTGCTCGTTCTCCTGCTGCTCCTCCCTCTCCTCCTCCTCCTCCTTCTCCAGCTCTCCCCCCTGCTGCTTCTCCTTCTACCGCTGCTTCCCCTGCTCTTTCCCCCGTTACTCCTGCCGCTCCTTCTCCCGCTCGTCCTCGTGCTCCTCCCGCTTCTCCTCCTCGACCTATATCTCCTCCCCCTCCTCCGTCTCCCACGCGTTCGTTAACCCCCTCCTCGTTTTCGCTCCCGCTCCTTCTACCGCCCCTCCCACGCCTCCTCCGCCCCTTCCCGTTTCCCCTGCCGCTCCTCCTCCCGCGGCTCCTCCGCCCCTTCGCATTTCCCCTCCCGCACCTGCTGCCGCTCCTCCTCCCACTCCTCCTTTTCCCGCTCCTTTTCACATCCCTCCTCCCGCTCCTCCCGCTCCTCCTCCCGCTCGTCCTCCGCCAAACAACGTGACCAAGATCCTGCCATAGCCATCTCCTATGAAAAAAACAAAAGAAAAATGGCCCGCCGCGTGGCTAGCCGAGAGAGGGAGAGAGAGAGAGAGAGTTTTCCATTAATAGAATGAACAACGCACCGGCCAACAGGCAATTTGATTTTGCTCATTCTATCGATGGAAATAGTGTGAGGCCAGGCACGGGATTGGAGACTTACCTGTTCGCCGGTGCGT